CTATTCAAAGAACCAACTTTTTATTGACTTCTCCATTGCTTCATCTATTTTGTATTTCGTGTATTTTGACTCTAATCTTTATTATTTCCTTCCTTCTGCTTGCTTTAATTTAGTTTTTGTTTTTGTTTTTAGTTTCTTAAGGTGGAACACTAAGTCATTTATTTGAGACAGTTTTTCTTTTTCATATAGGTGTTTATAGCTATAAGTTTCCCTTTGAGCTCTGCTTTAGTGTATCCTATAAGTTTTGGCATACTGTGGTTTTATTTTCAGTTATCTCAAGATATTTTCTAATTTCCCTTGTGATTTCTTCTTTCATCCAGAAGGTAGATGGCATAGCCATATATGGAGGGGTGGGAAGCTACTTCTCTACTAAGGCTCGCTCATTTCACCATGTAAATTGCCTTACCCTAGGGTTTTCTGGCCCTGAGATATTTTATAAAAAACCTTCTGCCTAATTAGCTTGTGCAAGGATGGCAAAAATTTTTCATCTTTCATGGTAACTCCATTTGATTGGCAGTGACTATCTGGAGTATTGAGGTGGGAAGACTTCTGATTTCATAAGGTCAAAGGGTACGGGGGCCATGATTTGATAGCAAAGCTGGCCATGGACAGGGAAGTGGGGAGTGGTGGCGCGTTTGTCAGTATTGGCCACTTGTTAACCAGGAGGCAAGTAAAACGTAATCAATTTACATTGCATAATTTAGGCCTCCATGCATGAATATAGGAGCACTGGTGGCATAGTGGTTAAGAGCTATGGCTGCTAACCAAAAGGTCAGCGGTTCGAATCCACCAACTGCTCCTTGGAAACCCTATGAGGCAGTTCTACTCTGTCCTATAGGGTCGCTATGTGTCAAAATTAACTTGACAGCAATGGGTTTGGTTTGGCTTATGTGAATGTAATGTTCTATTATTAAGTGATAATTGAAACTGCCTTGTACTTATTTGGAGCGCTGGTGGTGCATTGGTTAAAGAGCTCGGCTGCTAACCCAAAGGTTGGCAGTTCGAAACCAGCTGCTCCTTGGAAACCCTATGGTGCAGTTCTACTCTGTCCTATAGGGCCACTGTGAGTTGGAATCCACTCTACTGCAATGGATTTGGATTCTGGTTTTTTGTACTTACTTAATTTGGGAGCATTCAGATTTAATTCCAAAGGAATTAACTCATGAGGCTGGGTTCAGAAAGGATTTCTGTAAATGGAACATATATATGAATCAAGAATCTATATATACTTGAAAAACATCTGAGTCACACTGACACTTATAAACCAAGTGAGGACTCTTCCTGCCTGCTTGCTCCCCATAAAAAATGCACATGGTTCAGACTTACATGGATTTCACAGTTACAGTATTCTAGAAACTGTTACAGTTTAAGAACTTTAGGTACATCTTTCCATTGACTTTCTTTGTGAAAGATATTCAGTGAATAACTGCTATCACATAGAATCTCGAATTTAGAATAGACATTAGTTGCCAATTGGTCCAGCTTCCTGCTAAATGAGGTGGTAAAGTGATTGCAGTCACTAGGTTTCCCCAGCTTTCTGGATAGCTGTCCAATACCAGAAAGATGCCAGCCCTGATGATTCTCATGTTGTCATGTCCTCTCTGTATCTTTCAAACACCAGAGTAAGAATGCTCAGGAGAGTGCTGTGTGGGATTAGAGAACCAGTCAGCCACTGTATTGAGTTTGGGTAGATATTTAAAACCAATGAACAATTAAACAAATGAAAAGGCATAGTTTTAATAGTTAACCTCTAATAGAGAGTCCACTAAATCGCTGTAGACAGGGTTGACTATATAATTTGCAGGGCCCAGTACAAAATGGAAATGTGGGCTCCTTTGTTAAAAAATAATTAAGAACTTCAAGATGGCAGTAAAGCATTAAACCAAGTGTGACGCTCTTCTAAGTGTGGCGCCTTCTGTGACTGCACAGGCTGTATGACCGCAAAACCAGTTCTGCTGCTAGCATACCTTGCTCTAGGAGATGCCAGTGTAAGGATGTATTTTGCAGTTGATCAAAGCTTGGTTGCATATGTGCAGAACAATTTATGTGTTCTACACAACGCTAATTTCAGGCAAAATTGTGATGTGCATAAAGTTTCTTTTTCTAGCTCTAACACCTAGAACTTATTCACTTATTTACTTCTCCCACTGTCCTGCCCTGTTGCTGGGAAGGGGCACTGTGGTTCTATCCTGGGAGGAGCTGCTAAAGGTCTTTTCCTCTAGCTGTCATCCAACCAACAGATATTTTCATTCTGTATCTTCTGCTGCACTGTCCAACGTGGTGGCCACTAGCTACAAGTAGCTATTTAAATTAATTAAAATATAATTAAATTTA